TTTTTTTTTTTTTTTTTTTTTTTTTTTTTTTTTTTACACAGCGCGTCTCGACGCGCGAACTTTGGGCATAGGAGAAGAAGATGATGAAGAGAAGGAGAAGGAGAGAAGAGCGGAGAGGTAGACGAGGGTGATCAGAGGAAGTGATCGATGTCGGGATTGAGAGGGGGCGGAATAGGTGGAAGAAAAGCGGCCATTGCTGCGGGAGTTGTCGGCGCATCTTCCTCATGGTGCTGGACGAATGAGGGATAGAGGAAGGCCCCCGGCACATGAGACAGGACACGTGGCGCCTGATCAGCCACCGCTCGCACCACCCGCTTGCGCACCAATCGGGGCCCTGGACCGTCATCACCTCATGAGTCTCGGTGTAAGGCCGCCGCTCCCGCTTCTGCGCCGCGAAGACGAGGAAGTGGTACATCATGTTGGGACGCTGCCCGGTCTCGTAGATGAGCGTCCCGACCATTTGCGCCGCAATACACCCTTGAAAAGGGGGTGTCAGATATGGCTCCCACGCCGGATTAGGGCGCGGCGCCCCCGCGATGGCCTCGAGCCTGATGGTGGTGGGCTTCACCATGAAATCCACCTCTGTCGGATGGACCGCCTGGCTCGGAGGAACTACTAATGTCAATGATCGGGGCACCGCGGGGTGGCTGGCGGGAGCGGAGAGGTCCCGCGAGGACGGGGGGTCTGGATATGGGATCCGGTAATCCCATTCGGCTTCCTCCCCCGGCTGCTGCTGCTGCTAATGGCCCGACTCCATCAAGATTGAAATCGAGCACGCGCGGAAAGGGCGGCGATTGCACGACAGTCTCCTTAACAAGCATCGCCGCACTCCCAAGCACAGGGTCAAGATTTCGCGTACACGCAGGCTGAATCACCTCCTCGCCGCCACCGATTCTGCTGCCTTGCGCTCCTGGCGACGGGTAGCGTCTCTTCCTCTTCGGCGTCTTCTTGGGGGCCTTTTTTGGGGCCGGTCTGGGATACGACAAGGGAGGCCGCAACGAATTTTCATCCGCGAAGTCCTCCAACCTCTCCGCGCGCTGCGCAATGTAATCCGGGATGACAACCGCGTTGTACGTTCTCCGTGGGGCCGTCGCCGTCCGCAATCGTGGCTGGATCTCCTCTTCCTCGTTCGTGATCACCTCCGCAATGGAGAGGAGCTCAAGATGTATGAGCTCCAACAATCTCGGATCGATCGTCTGGAGCTGGGCGAATGGGTACAGCGCCACCGTCCCCTCCTTCTGCGCTGGCTTGGGCCGTGTGATGACGTAGTACATGACGAAGAGTTCCCCGATGCCGTGGTCTTCGTGATCCACGAAGAATCGGAACATCCCCAACGCCACAGACTTTTACAGCGCACGGTGCAACTCCCACGCGTCTTCGTCTGCGAAGGGAAGCGGCTCCACGTCAGTTAGCTCCACCAGATACTCCGAGAACTCGCGCACAGGATAAGGGCCCTCCGTGAGTCGATAGGGGAGAGTGGTGTAAGAGAAGAAGGGAGGCATTTAGTACGGGGCAGGGGGAAGAGCTTGGATGTTGAGAGGGGCAGCAGGAGGAAGAAGCGCGGGGAGTTGTGGCACCAACGCGATTGGTCCGTCCTCTGCCTTGCGCAGCAGCGCCTCGTGGGCTGTGAATCGGTGTCCCCCCCGTCCTTGCACTCTGGCCACTGATCTGGCTGCCTGCACCGCGTATTCGCGCACAAAACTCCGCGCCAGCTCCCAACTCGGCGGTGGCAGGATCGTCAAGTCTCCGATGAAGGTGGCGACGCTATGCACGAAGTTGGGTGCCACCTGGAGCGCCCGGAACTCGATGAACACCCGGGTCGTCTCCCGCCCCGGCAACTGCGTTACGTCCACGTACACCCCCGCGTCCGTCAGCCGATCACAAAGCAACGAGTACGCCGCCAGATCAGCAACCCCGGGCGCTGGCACGTTCACCTGCTGAATGTCGTATCGCAACTGCCTCTCCTCATTGAACTGATGCCGCAACAAGCAATCTGCAAGCGGCGTCTGGAAATGCCCGAGGGGCTCATGCTCCGGCTGGCGATGGTTCATCTTGCTCCCTTAAACTCTCAGCACCAATGGACGAGGCAGATCGGGAAGAGGAGGAAGACGAAGAAGGAGAGGATGATCTCGCAGGAGCGGGGGTCCGTATATGACCTAGCGATGGCTGGAAGGGCCGGAGCGCGGCAGCGTGCTGTGTCAGCGGTCGAGTTTGGGAGTTGTGACGGGGAATCAGCTTCACGGAGTGCTGTCCCTGTGCGCCAACTTCCGTTACGTCGTAAATGCCTGTGTAGCGCGGGTGGATCTGGGAGGAGCGCGTGGATTTCCGTACCTGCACCAAGTCCCCAACTTTATAGCGGGGCAGTGGTCCCGCCGTCGCGTGCCGATTCTCGTAGTCACGGATCTGCCGTTGATGCGTCCGATCTACGGCCCGCTGTCGACGACGAGCTAACGGGGGATAGGCCCTAGCCATTAAGTCCATGTAGTGGCGGGCCTTATCTCTGCGCTGGGCCCGTGTTGCTCTAACTTTCGTACCTACCAAGGGGGACAACTGCACCCGAGGGACACTATTGGTTCTCAGTTGAAAGGGGTACACCCCTGTACTACCGTGTGGGGTAGCCCGATAAACGGCCAAGATGTGGTCGACAATGACAGGCCAGGGCCGGGTGTCTCCTGCAGTGATATTCCGTCTCAGGGCAGTCTTAATCAGTCGGTTGGCATTCTCTACCAGGCCGTTGGCTTGAGGCCAATGCCCCGGTGAGTAGATAATCTTAACGTCCGCCCTGACTAGGTGACGTTCTACTTCGCCTTGAAATTTCGACCCATTGTCCACGTGTACCTCTTCTACGTCTAGATGCATGCACAAAAATCGGTTTACGTACCAGGCTACCTCCTGCGAGTTCCGGCTGGTCATAGGGTACGCCTCGATCCATTTTGAAAAATGATCGACGGCCACTAAAAGAACATTGAGTTCTCCCTGATCGACGGGACCTCTCGGAACGTTGATATCCATCGTGTCGATGCTAACCCTCTGAAAGGGGCGCTCTACACGAGTAGGCACCATCGTCCGAGGCATCTGTACCGGCGCCTTGTCCGCCGCGCAGACCGGGCAATTCTGGACGATGTATGTCACATCTTCCCGAATTCCCGACCAGTACCATCCATTCTTTTCGATGGCTTTTTCCGTGTACTTGACCGTGGAATGGACCGCATCCTCTTCATGAGCGGCTCGTGTCCAATCGAACCTAGTGAAAGGGTGCCGAACCGTCAACCAGCTAGACCCTCCGCCATCATCGACTTTTCGTTTTTGTAACGTCGGTCCCTGCCAACGATAGTCCTACGCCCGCTCCGTGACTCTCCGCCGCTCGGCTTTGGTAAGTTCTGACAGCGAGTCGCCTGACAGCCTCCGTAGCAACAGAAGGTCCGTCCAGACTTCTGCCCGGCGGGCACTTGGCGCAAATCCGTCGGCTGTTCTTGCGTCCAGATACCGCTTCTCGGTAGGGACTTGGTCCGTTCTACAGTTGGGATAGACCCATGTTTTTTCACTTCAGTACCTAACGCACTGTCCGTGAGATTTGACCGTATGACACTCACTACACTGTACCCATAAAAGAAAACTGGGCCCTCCCGGATGTGACCCTTCTTGGTCCGGGACCAAAGGCAAGGTACAAAAGAAACAAGGACTTAGATGTGTTTCAGGGGACGAGTAGGGACTAGACGAGAGAGCGAGGGAGTTGGATGAGGGCAAAGAGATAGCGTCTACCATCTCTGGCGAAACCTCCATTTCGGACTCAGGCGTCGTCCTTGCACAGCACGTATAGCTCCCCATAGCGCGGTTCCACAATCGTGGATTCTGGCCTCCACAGAATGAGTCGCTCGTTGGTGGGACACTTGTTGGGCGGCAGGAGGCGCGTCAATCCATCGGCGTTGGCATGCTGCCGCGTGGCATGGTGGCGGATGTCGAAGTCATAGTCCTGCAGACGCACCGCCCACATTCCCAGCGTCCCCGTGTAGTCCGTGTTGTTGCGTAGGGACAACAATGGCTGATGATCCGTTACCAGCACGAATTTCTGGCCGTAAAGATACGGTCAGAAATGCTGAATCCCCCACACCACCGCCAGGCATTCACCTTTGCATGCTTCGTAATTATCCTGCGCCTGGCTCAGCGTTTTGGACGCATACTCAATGACGTGTTCCCTTCCGTCCGGCCCATGCTGAGTCAGCACCGCCGATATCGCCTGCGGCTGCCAATCGGTGTACAGTGCGAACGGTCTTGTCGGGTCGGGACGCGCCAACACAGGAGAAGATGCCAGAGCCTCCTTTAACGCCTGAAACGCCACTTCTCATTCCGGCGTCCAGATTTGCTGCTCCTCTTTCTTCAGCAGGTTCGTTAGGGGCTTCGCTGCACCGGCGAACCCCTTGATGAAGCATCGGTAATAGGATGCCAACCCTAGAAAAGCCCGAACCTGGGTGAGTGTGACCGGCGCCGGGGCTTCTTGAACTGCTGCCACCTTCCTCGGATCTGGTTTTAGTCCATCTACCGTGAGGATGTACCCCAAGAATGAGATCTCCGACAAGAAGAACTCGCTTTTTTCCAAGGCCACTTTGAACCCCGCATCTTTTAGTGCATGCAAAACCCACTCAATGTGTTCCACGTGGTACTCGTGTGTTTTTGAAAAGACTAAAATATCATCCATGTACACAATCACGCAGAAATTGATCAAGGGCTGGGTTAGTCGGGTTTTGTTAACGAACTCAGCGAAGGCCATATTCATGGCCCGCTGAAACGTTGCAGGGGCATTACAAATTCCCATGGGACACCGGACCCATTGCCACGTGCCCTCAAATAGGACAAAAGCGGTTTTGGGTCGGTCCTCCGGTCGGACTGCGACATGGTGAAAACCGTGTCGGGTATCGAACTTGGAAAAGACTCGAGCGGCCCCGATAGCATCTAACAAATTGTCGATTCGCAGCAAGGGATACACATCTTTGGTAGTGATAGCGTTCAATTTTCGGTAGTCGATACATACCCGGACCGAACCATTTCGTTTTGGCACGAGGACCACGGGAAAAGACCACGGTCCCAGCGATGGTTCGACCCACCCCAACCGCTCGAATTCCCGTACCCTTTCCAACGCCAGCTGTCTTTCTTTAAGGGAATATCGGTACGGTCGGCAAKGTACCGGGGCGTGATCCCCGGTATCAATTGCGTGCTGTATCAAAGGGGTTAGTCCTATGTCGTGGTCCTGAATACTGACGGCCTCAGGATAGGCCCGTATAGCCGCAAGGAGGAGGCGTCTGTATTCATCCGGAACACGGGCCGGTAACTGAACTTCTACGGTTCCCCCAGGAAGGGAGACCGTCGTCGTAACCGTGGGGACCGCCGCGCTGGCATCGGGCGAGGCCCCAAATAAAGAGTTGTCGGTTTTCGCCAAAAGGACAGTCGCAATAAGTTGACTGTCCGCCGGACTCATCAGCTCGCTTTCCAAGTCACTGTCGCTGTCCAGTTCGGGTTCGGCTGAGGGTTTCGGCATGCGTCAGTTCCCTCGGTCCCCACCGATATTCCCTTGTTCGGGGTTGAAACGACACCCCCTCTTTCAAGAGTATCGTGGCTTTTTCATTCGTGAGTAGGGGCCGTGGAGGTCGAAAAGATAAATCGCACAGCCCCCTCAGCTCGGTAAATCTTTCAGGTAGGGGGTCCGTTCTGAGATATAAGGACACAGGGGGTTCCGAAAGGTCAGCTATTCGGGACACCCTCAGCAGGGGTTCCCCCTGCACCACTGAGGAGAACGCGTGCGACCAATTGGACTCACTCTGAATTATTTCCAAGGGTTCTCGCCGCCAAGAATAGCGCCACCGATCCTGAACCCGGATCGGATATCGGTCGGGTACATCAGTCTCGTCAGTTTCCGACGAGGTTTCATTTTCATCTAATGACAAGTGTCGGATCATGTTGATTTGATGGGCTTTCGTGGTGATTCGAGGCGTCGGCTGGGTGCGCATATGCACCGCTAATCTCATTGGTATCGTTTGTGGTTTGGGGTGGGCCGATGTGAGCACCACCTTACAGTTGTCAAAGTGCATTCGCGCTCCGACCGCCGCCTGCCACGGAATGCCTAGCAGAACATCATATGCCTGTACATCCAGCACGATTGCGTCGCACAAACAATGCACCCGCCCCACCCGTATAGGCACGTTCGTTATTCGCTCTTTACAATGAATACTGTCTTCCGTAGCGGATATATACAGTTCATCCGGTCGGAGGGGCTGAACCTGTCCTTCCCTTCCCAATTGTTTAGTCAATCTCCAAGAAATGGCGACCGCTGACGATCCCGAGTCTAGGATGGCGGCCGAGGGATTTACCCAGACCTCGCAATCACACTCAATGCTTTTCCGG